TAATGTGTTGGTGCATCTGTTCCCGAGGGGGCGCGCACTTTCTCCCGTAGGGGAGTTTAATTCTCCTGCATGGGAGTGTGTAGTCTCCCATTGGGGAGTTTCTTTCTCCAGGTGTGGAGTTTTTTTTTCGTTTTTATGTTGTTAGTGGGTGGGTTTGGTCTGTTTTCGTTTTTATGTTGTTAGTGGGTGCGTTTGTTCTAAGCGATCCTCTGGATCTGTCCTCCCACTAGATTCGGCTTTTGAGCTGTCTCTTCGGCTTTGGAGCCGTTTTCTAGCTGTAATTATGTGTTTTTTCTTCAATAAAATTTCTATCGTTTGGAAAAAAAAATGTATAACTTGTTTTCCAACTGTCAAACTTAATGTCATCGAATTAAGTCTTAATCTTCGTTATTTTTCTTTTTATTTGTTATTATGGTTTAACTAGTCGTGGCCCGTGCGATGCACGAGATGATATATTTTTCTAAAACTTTTTCAATATTGAATATTAAATTTAATAGACTTAGTATACATGTAACAAATGTAAACGTGTGACGATTTAAAACATTCATAGATTATTGAATACTTTTTTGTAAAAGACGTTTTGGTTTAATTTGGTGGCAAGTCATCGTCACCACAGACTAATAATTTAAATAAGTTTAGAATATAGATTTGATAATAATAAATATTAAATAACAAGAAAAAATATATATACCTCTTCATTATTTTAATTTATTTACAACTATTTGGCTTCGAATTTTCTTTCAAATATACGAACAACCCTCAATGTCAAGTATAGCTTGTTTTCTGGGAAATCGAATTAAAAAAAAAAAAAAAACTACACGAGTGAAAAAAATGAAATTAGTCGGATTATATAGATTAAGGATTGATAAAATGCTAAAGAAAAATGCTACATGTACATAATAAATGTACATAAAGATGTACATAATACTCACATGGAGTGGGGTCCACTTGATTTTTTTATTTTAATAAGTCTTACTCAATGTGAGTGTTATGTACACCTCTATGTACAACATTATGTACCTATAGCATTACTCAATGCTAAAAGATGTGGTAAATGATTTGTGTAATTGAGTACTTATATAGATGTCATAATTATTTGTATTAGAACTTAGATGTGAGATATGATTCTAATTTAAAAAATCATTCAAGCTTTTTGATGTTTCCATTCGGTCCGACTTATTTTGAGATAAGATAATAATGAATCTTTTAGATGAGATTTATTTTATTATCTGCTTAGATTTTTAGTAACATAAATTGAGAAATATTTAAGTCCTTTAAGAATTTAACTGGATTAAAATTATGTAAGAAAATTTCCAAAGATTTTTTGTAGACGTAATTGAATATGATATTGCAATCAAAATA